TTATTTTAACAGCCGAAAATGAGGGGGAGCTGAGGTCATTTGAAGTAACTTTTTCCTTTGCGAAAATGCAATCTGCGGCTTTGTTTACGAGATAATAACGAAAAACACTAGCCAATGAGAGGTGACGGTGCGATATATATATAATGTGATATAATATATATATCCTCTTTCCAAATTGTCCATGTTTGTGCGAAACTTGAGCGCGAATTAGGGAGAAATTACTACAGTTCGCAAAAATTAATATATGTAAACGCTATCTCAGACGGAGACAACTGCGACAAAAGAATAAACGATAACTAAATCCTTTACAAAGGTGAAGAAACTTTAAAGTCGATTTTCTCGAAAACAGAGTCCCGGATAAAAAAATGTTATACCGAACTTTTTTCTTATTTTTTTCACTTAGAATCATCCCCTGCTCGGTTGTACTACGAATTCCGGCCCACCTTGTATACATGCGGGCATCAGCTGATCCGTCATAAAGAAACATAAAAATATACAGGATAACTGTTCTTTGTTTGGGACTTAGTTTTCGAGAAAATCGAGTTTAGAAGTTCGCCGAGCGACGTAAGTGCGTATGTACAAAGCGAATTTTCAAACTCGATTTTCTCGTAAGCTAAGTCCTAAATAAAAACAAGTTATTCTATATTTTCTTCATGTTTTTTTTATGAGGAATTATCTGGTGCCCAGTTGTGCGTACGTTTCACTTACACCCTGAATTTTATAAATGAAGCATGTAAACGATCAAAAGATATTAAACAATTACATGTGCGATTACAACTAGAAATTTTCATGATTGGATGATTTCCTTGATGTGGCCACAGAAAGAAAAGAAACTGAAGAGAGGGTTGCGAACTAGAAAAAGTTGGGTGACTAATGTGTACGTAGATTAGACAGTTTAGGCTCTTTTCACAAAAGTTGCGAACGTGTTCCATGCTTCAAAGGAGGACGTTCTTTCCGATTTCCTTTGACGTATGTCCGCTCGCTAATTTTTCATTCGAGCCGACAAAGTGCGAGTACGTCTTAAGCACGAGTTGTGAAATGAACTTGTTAATTTCAGGGGACGGCGAGTTCCACGGGCAGGTTTTACAACGTTGCATTCATCGTCGCGTTCGTTCACACTAGCGGACAGTTTCGATGCATATGAAATTAATCCGCCAGGATAGGAGTCAATATCTTCTGCCTACCTATGTCAGATTTTCGTGGCGCGGCAGCGCGACGCCTTACGTGAAAAGAAAATCGATTTCATCTTGGATGTGTTATTAAAATCAAAATTTATTATTTAGTTCGCGGAAATTATTTGAAATGATTTTTGAGACGCGAGATCCTAAAGAAATGATCGTTTGAATGTATGTATAGTTATTTATTGTAACTTTATGTTCGATATACTCTTTCCAGAAGCAGTTCATCATTCGGAAAGATCCCTTAATTTCTTTTAGGTTTGCTATTTGCGGGAAAATAATCAGCTTCTTTTAGATATAGATTAGCCATTAAAAATCTATTAAAAATACTCTGTTTAAAAGGTATTGTCTACCAATGTGTACCGATTACATTGAAGAATATTTGATGATGTATAATATATCTACTGCAATATTTAGAAAAGTTAAATTATCGGAGCTACGATGCTTACTAATTCTTAACATACAGTTTATTCTCTACTATGTATAAAAAAGTTTATTTCATTATTATATTTCACCTGAAATAAACACTAATGATAGCTTATCAAATTCCCCATAAAGAATAAATGATATATATGACAATGAATACATACAGTATTACATTTAAAAAATCCTGAAGACCTTGTAATGTTCTCCACGTTATTCATCCTTGCAAACGTTATTTGAATCTTATTAATTTGTAATTAACATATTTATATTATGGCAGTAAAAAAGGATTAAAAGTTTTATTTAGCCCTTGTTTTTCTAACTCGTGTAGAGTTAGTTCACATAAAGAATCGCAACGTAATTATTACAAACAGCTGTACCAAATGAACAAAATTATCGTCCCATTTATCGAACATTATTGTAAAAGTTTCGCTGAACATTGAATATTTTATAGGTTGCAGTACAGTGACCGAGGAACGTTGATCGACCGATCGTGATTACAAAATCGCGGTGAAACCGAACGGCAGCTTCCATCAAGCGAAATGATAGTATCAGACCGTATGTAAAGCATATAATTCTCGATGGCATTACATGAACGGTCGGCGGCGGTCACCGCGTTCAACCAGGTATTAATTACAAATTAATGCAACTAGATAACCACGCGTCCATTAGAGATAATCGAGTCCCTATCGTCGGTCGCCGGTGCAACCGAGTTCGCGATTCGCAATTTAAGCATTGTCGCCGCTGCGCTAAGGCAGTGGTCGACGCGAGAAAATTGAAAGACCGTAAAATTGAACCCAACATGGCAACCTAATTTACCATCCGATCACTTTCA